TGGAAAAAACGAAATATTTCGTGGAGTGTTTCAGCGAACATGACGGCATGACATGACTGATCGTGAATGCGTAATGAGGTTCACGTTGCATTCTCAGAACGTGAGGTTTGCCGTTTTTCGGAATTTTCGTAAATTTAATTTCGCCGTTACACATTTGAACTAGTTTATCTACAACACTTGTATATCGTTATAATGGGGCCTCACGTCAGTGAGGGGGTCCGCTGGGCAACTGAAACCGTTGAGAGGAAGGCCCCGAAACGGTGCACATTCTCTCCTGATGACCCCAGTTTAAATATAAATTCGAGAGGAACACATCAAAAGAAATTCAATGAAGTCATATGCCATAGAGAAGCTCGGTGGAAGCGTCATTGGCATGAGGAGCATTACACATTCAGCTCGCTTCAGGTGAGTTTCAATTACTTTCCAGTAATTTCCTTCATCTTCAGCTATATGTCAATAAATGTCCGACAATCACCACAGGGATGGGAAAATAAAACTAGAAGCAGGAAACTGAAAATTCCATGGACAGAGCGAGTAAGGAACAAGGAAGACTTAAAGAAAATGAAATTCCCTGGACACAGGAAGAAGGGCCCGGAAAACTTAATCATATATGGAGCATATTCAGGAAAAAAAGAGATAGGAAAAGCATATTATGCGTACTATGTCTATATAATAAATGCGAATGACAGTGTGTCACACTTTTTCAAATTTACTCCTAGAAGACGTAGCCCAAGATATATCACTTACCTGACGAGCTTGTGTGAATGGATGGACGAACTGTTGACGGTGGCGACAGACTTGTTGATGTAACTATGTATAACTAGACATAAAAAAGAAAAAGAGAAAAACTACTAAGAGCTACATGAGATAGAAAGTTGTGGAGAGCCATAAATGCTTTTGTCCTGAAGGGACGCGGCACATAGAAGAGGATATGTATGTATACCTGTGTATAAAATGCACGCCTATGCGCAAAGGTTAACAAGTGTATTGACATATAATAGGCGTGCGTAATTGAATACAAGTAACACATGTAAAGCACTGAGTGACTCTAAGACAGAAGTTCAACTCTGAATATATTAGTCGCACAAGAGCAGACATCTTGTTTGATACAAAATTTACTCAAAGAGAAAGACGCGACGACCAAACGTCGAATTTAATTTTGAAACACGTCTATTATAGAAATTTAACGTTACTATTTTGGATGTCTTTGCAAATTTCTGAAAAATGTTCCCATTTTTACATTCTTTAAACATATTTGTGCTGTATTAAAAATCTTGTATTACAAAAGCATATTATTCGTACTATGTCTATATAATAAATGCGAATGACAGTGTGTCACACTTTTTCAAATTTACTCCTAAGAGACGTGGCCTAACATATACCATTTTAAAATTAGGCCGACTCCGTGAGTAAATTAAAAACATTCCCGGACCCGGAATCTTGAAATAAAGGCATAAATAACTTTGAAAATAATCGTCTCTACCATCTGAGAGAATTAAGAACCAACACTAAATCACGGGTTAATATATGAGCCCATATTATAGTCTACCGTCGTGTGGATTTGTTTGCTAATCCCGTGCAGGATTGATGTCGAAGACGACAGTCCATCATATATATATATATATATATATATATATATATATATATATATATATATATGTATGTATGTATGTATGTATGTATGTATATATAGCATAATGAGAATCCACGTATACTTTCTTAATATGTATATATAGAAAAAGTTTCAAATTAAAAAATAATAATGTTTTATTTTATGAAAGTATTTATTTATTTATATATATATATGATATTTCAAATTGTCCTCAATTTTTCATCAGAAATAACTGTTTGTTACAAAAAACAAAACAAAAAAAACCAAACAAAAAAAACAAACAGTTACAAACTGTTTGTTTGTAACAAACAGTTATTTCTGATGAAAAATTGAGGACAATTTGAAATATCAAATATATATATAAATAAATAAATAAATACTTTCATAAAATAAAACATTATTATTTTTTAATTTGAAACTTTTTCTATATATATATATATATATATATATATATATATATATATATCTTGATCAAGGTCAACTCTTCGATTCAAGGTTTAACTGTTATCTTTCCTGCGTGAATCCATGAACTTCACTTCTTACCTCTTTTTATGCTCATACAACACTATACAGTAACCTTCTACCTTGAGCGGCTCTTGGATGAACATTAGTATAATAAAGTCAAAGCAATTCTCGGATGATACATAAAAAAAATGTGGAGTGATATGACCACCTATGCCCAGAAGGAACATGACATTAAAACCCCCCCAAAAAACCCACTTTCGCCTAAGGAGATATACTTAGAATGTTGTTCGTCTTCTTTTATTTACTCCACCCATTCAAGACGTAGACGATCATGGCTCCCCACAACTTCTATATTTTATAGCTCTTAGTAAAGTTCATCATCCATCCTAGTCTCTGTCCTGTCGTCTATTTACACAGGCTCGTTACTCGCCACTTTCTTTTGTCCGTCTTATCTTAAATATGCCCTGTGTGTGTCAAATTCTTAAAGCCCTCTTTCCTCAGTATATATGTCCGAGAAATCTCAACCGTCTTCTGATTTTAAGTAGAAACGCATTTTTTGTTTCTTTTTATTTAAAACTTCCTGCTTGATCACATGTTCGGTCCATGGTCTTCTCAGTAGCCTGCTGTCTAACCACATTTCTGTTGCCTCGAGTCTCTTCTTCATTATTGAAGAGTTTTTTTTCCTTATTCACTACGATATAGAAAAACCGATATTACATACCAATTCAGCACTCTTTGTTCTAACGAATTTTTTTCTGTTTCTTAATACTTTGCTTAGCTTTTGGGGGCCATCTTTCGCTATTCTGATTTTATTCCGAGTAGGGTGTCACATTTTCCGGCCTCTGTTAAAACATTTTCCAGATATTTCAATTTTAGTACGTGTTTTAATTTTTGGCATCTCCCACACTACGAATATTAAGACTCCTGATGTCTTCTCGTTAGCCCAGATACGTCAAGTCTGTTGTTGACATTCCTACAGAAACATCTTACAGAAAGTATTTTAAACAATTACAAATGTTTTGAATACTTTTTCCTCATTTTATTTTGATTGTTATAACGACTGTAGAATTGATGAACTCAACAAAAATAAATGAAGAAAAAGTTAGTTTAAATATTGTATCATTCTCGGAATTGTTTGGAATGTTAATTATATCCTTATCTATTTTAACGTTACATTCAGCCGAAGTGTTTTTTTGGCTTTCCCTATTGTTTGAAATTCATTACTTCTGGATTTACTTGAATCAGAATAACTATCAAGTTCATCTCGTTAGCTATCCCAATGGTAGCAAGCCTGAATGGGTTTCCTGCAAATCGTATTTCTTTAATTAATTAATAGAATCTATTGTCCGGTTTACGATCCTCCACAGTCTTTTGAACCGAAGTAGAGTGGAACCTCGGTTGACGAATTTAATTCGTTCCTGAAGGCCGTTCGTAACCCGAAATGTTCGTAAACCGAAACTATTTTTTCAATAAGAATCAATGTAGAGAAAAAAAGTCACAGTACAATAAAATTGGAAAAGAAAAGCCCGGCGCAACACATGAATGTATACAACATGGCGGTCCACTCAGAAATGATTCTGTTTCGGGCTATGTTAATTAAGCGAAATTTTGTTCGATAACCGAGGCATTTTCGTCACGAGTTTTCTGTTCGAAAACCGATTTGTTCGACATGTGAGTCATCTGAGAACCGAAGTTCATCTGTACTTTGTTTCCTGTTTAGGATAGGGTTTCCAATTCTATCTAAAGTTTTTTTCATTCTCTTTTAATCTCAGTAGCCCTGTGCGTCTTATTGGCATTATCGCCTTGCTTATGGGGGAATTGATTATCTCTTGTTTCCTGTTCAGAATTCGGTTTCCGGTCCCTTCTAAATTCTACTTCAACTCTATACTTCTAACGTCTCCACCTAAAGTCAGAAATGTGTATTTATTTATATTTATCCTTAATAGTAGATAGATAGATTCAGCTATCGATCTGTTCACACACCTTTCCAGTCTTTTGAACAGGAGTAGAGGTTTATTTCTTATTTCCTGTTTAGGATTGGCTTTGCGATTCCCTTTAAAGTCTATACTTCTAAAACTTCCACCTAAACTCTCAAACTTTATTTAATAATTATTTACTTTTTTTCTTTCCTCAATAGGAGTAGAGAGGTTCGTCTATAATCGGGCTCACACTCCTCTCTGGTCTTTTGAAAAGGGGTAGATATTTACCTTGTGTATAGGATTGGGTTTCCGGTTCCTTCTAAAGCCTTTTCATTCTTTTTCACTCCCAGTAGCCCCTTGCGTCTTAGTGACATTATCGCCTTGCTTGAGGTGAACTGGTTGAAAAAAAATTGATTGAACTCGAACCATTAAGTAGTTTCTTCTTTTCTCTGTTGCGTTCCCTGTTGACGCACGCGACAATCGATCTAGTTGGATGCTGTTTTTTAATTGCTTTCACACTTACATTGTAAGTACAATTCAATACTTGTAGTCACCACTCCTTCTAGCAGCAGCAATATTCAGCTAGCTAGAATTGGTTGATCCATGGCGGAGTAGCTGTGTCGATTATCGTCCGCCAATGATCAGTGTATATCAGGCCAATGTTACTCGCTATTGCTGCTTACAGAACTATACAACTGGAGAGCTGCAGTTTTCTGCCATTGACGCTTGGTGACTATCGTTTTGTCTGGCTCAAAACCCATTGACCTGTCTGGTTCGGTTAAACTCTCACCAGCATTGCTCTGTGGGTGATAGAAGTCCGCCAGTCATTCCACTGTGTCGAAGTCCTTGTAACGACCATATGGCAGCAAATATCATGCGGTGTGTTAGCTTCATTGCCTTCCTCGTGCAGTCCTATGCAAAATTAGTTAAAGTTTTTTAAGTACCTACTGAGTCACAGCTATTCATTAACAAGTCTCACATAGCAGTGCTCACTTGGGTGAATTTTGAAACACCCGTTCCCGTACGATCACCAAAGTTAAGCAACGTTGAGCCTGGTCAGTACCTAGATAGGTGACATCATGGGAATAGCAGGTGCTGTAAGCTTAGATGTGCGGGTGGTGTAATAGATAATGGCTCGGAATTGTTAATCAAAGTGCTGAGTTCCAATTTCAGTTGAGTTCGTTATATCCACTTACGCGCAAATACCCTATAGAAAGGTACGAATCTGCCATTTCTACCCCAGCTATGGGTTAATTAGTTAGACGCGTATTATTAAATCATTATTATCCGAAAAAAAAACAAAAAAACTTCCTACAATCTAAAAATATTTTCTGACATTAAATAACCTGCAAAGAGTTGATAATCCGTAAAAAACAAATCAAGCGATCAATCACATGGAAACTTCGATTTCTGCTGAGTTTCCCACCTCAAGGAAACTCACTGGTGTGGTATTCTTCAAGATTAAACTTTTTATATATGTCTTGTCCCTTCAGGACGAGGGCGATCATGGATCTCCACAATTTTCTGTACTTTGTAACTGTTAGTAAATTTTGCCTTTTTACTATCACGCTTATACTACCCAACATTTGCACATGCTCTCTAGGTAGGTTATACGCTGCTTACTTCTGTCCCCCTTGCTTTCACTATGCCCTGTGAGTGTCGGATCTTCTAAGCCTCCTTTCCTCATTAAGTGTCTCAGAAATTTAAAATGCCTCGTCCTGATATTAAGCATAAGTGTTCTTTTTGAACTTCTTCATTGCTCACATATTCGGTACATGGTATTCTCAGCATCCTTCTGTAGAACCACATTTATATTACTTCAAGTTTCTTCTTCATCTGGTAAATATCTCTAGTTAAAGAGACTATATTTTGCGGTGGGTAACCCAAAATTTGATGTCAAAATCTGTTTGCGTCTTGAACATCAAAAGTATGAATACAAGAATAGGCATTTCAAGCACATGACTGTAAAGCAAAGACCGTGTCTAATAATTGTGGGTAGAAACATATGCAAATATCCAAATAAACTTCTTGTCCATTGCTTGGAATGTGAAAAAAAAAAGGATATAGAGAAATCAGTTTGATAATAAATTGTCTTAAAAGATCAGACCGAAAATAAAATGAAACCTATTTTTGCATATTTGAATTTTTCAGTATTACAAATTCCTTTTAATTCAGGTTTTTAAATTAAAAAAAAAAAACTTTTCTTTTTAATTTTCTATTTATCCTTTAAAAATCAAAGAGAACACTCAAGAGTGTATATATCAGGAACATCAACTAAATAATACAGGGAGACCCCAAAAAACCGGAATTTATGAAGTGCGTATTGCCCGACATTAGCAAGTGGCAACACTGCGAGACAGTGACCTTGAGCAAGTAAACATTTCGCCATTTAGAATTCAAGATGAAATTCACAGTATCCCAGCTGAGATGTTGCAGCAGTCAATGAGGAATCTCAACAGCAGATTTCAAGAATACATTCGTACAGGAGGACGCCATCTACAGGACGTAATTTAAAAAAAAAATGAAAATTCCATCATTGTTAGTAAATTAAATGGCATGTTTTAAGGTTTCAATTACTTTGAATAAAATATTTTTCTTCCATCACTCTTGGTTTTATTGGCTTGTTATAAAGATCCCATTTTTTTGGGTCACCCTGTATATCTCTGTAAGACCCGTGAAAAATTTCTCAATTGTCCTATGTGAATTTTCTAATGAATCTTAATTCTTCAGTTAATAACTAAATAATCTCATGGCGAATTCTATGCCAATAAAATATCCATAGAAATTCCCCTATCGCATCATTAAATATTTGGGCTCAACAACTTTAACAAAATACTACAATAACAATCATATATATGAAAGCAGGTCGTTATTTTAAGAAGTGGTTACCAATGAAAAGAATTGAAATTGATGACTTTTTGATTTGACTGAAACAGCCATTAAAAACATTTATCTTTCATTCTTGCTTACTTTTATTTTTCCACTGAACCCAAGTCGGGTCTTTTGTCCTCTTTCCACGAGATCAAAACGGAATAGGCCATTATTTATCAGGTATTGGCAGAAGATGTTACTTGCTTTCTTGCTTACTTACCTTCAATAATAATTATTAAAAAATAATTCACAAGACGATGTTGTTTTTTATTTATTAGGTTGGTGCAAAAATAATGACGTAATAATGTCGTTTTTGACGTTAAAAATACGTCAAAAAACGACATTATTACGTCATTATTTTGCACCAACCTAATAATTTTTTGCCCTCCCTTTGCTTACTAACTTTCCGTCGCTCGATACTGTGCGTCTGAAAATGGCCATTCCTTCTCGACCGTTTAGCTGAGATCAAAGTGTAGTATGTATTCTTATCAGTTTAATCTGATATTATTGCTCCATTTATATTTTCCTTTTTTCTTTCTTTCATTTTCTTACTGAACCCAAGTAGTGCCTTTTCCCCTTTTTCTATACAAGCAACGGTCATGTGAACTAACGAAGGGAGTAAAAGCACAATTATAACTCTTCATTACTAATACTGTAACAATGCCCTACAGTACTAACTGAGGGTTAACAAAAACTGTCAAAGAGTCAGATTGAGCATGAATTGTTTTAAAAGAAATCAAACCGAAACTAAAATAAAATCTACTTTCATATCACTGGATTCTTGACTATTACAAATTCATTTTTTAATATTGGCTTTTTAATTCAATTTTTCAAAATAAAACCTCATTTTTAATTTTTTTTAAATTTCTTCCATAAAAAACAGAAAGTACATTCTAGATAATATATAATGAGAAAAGTGATATGTATTTTTTTAATGGGGCGTTTGAAAACCCCGCAGTACTAATACTGTGACAATGCTTCGCCACAGTACGAACGGAGGGTTTATAAACAAGAAACAAAATAAATATCCAGAGGAGAAAAAGATTTGAAAACGTGCCGTACCAAATAAGCATCGTCCCAAGGGGGAAATGAAATCGGAGGAAATAATTTAATTTTGTCGACACTTGGATTTGGTACATAATTGTAAAGAATGAAGTAAGACTCACACTTACGTATCGCGAAGAAACAAGTTTGTTAACGCTTTTACTGCTGCGATGTTGTAGCATTGTTTTGGCTGGATTTACTGGCCCGTTTGGGGCAAAGATAGGAAATCGCTATATACTGAAAAGGAAATGGCGTTAAAGACGCTGACGTCGATTTCTCATAGGTACCGCCATTTTGATTGGTTTGGTTTGATTTAATTTACGGCATATCAACCTCAATGGATTATTTAATGCCGAGATTGTTTGAGAACCAGGACGCCACTTTCCTCTGTGATCGGATTGCAATGCTTAAGCATCGTTGGAAAAGTGCATTGATGTCAGGGGGGGGGACTATATTGAAAAACAGAAAACCTGTCTTGTTTCTCCAATTCGTTCTGGTTGAAACTTAGAACATTTTGGTTTGGTTTATTTTGTTTTATGGCATATCAAGACCTCAGTGAGTTATTTAATGACAAGACTTTTTAGGACAGGTTCGTATGAACAGAATATGTCTTCTTTGTAAGAAATCAGTTTGTAAATCAGGTTTCATTGACGTATTTTTGGAAAGAGTGTTTTTGTCCAGAGTCAAATGTACTGCTAGTAATATTTGTTTATTGTATTGCTGGTAATATTTTTTTTCAAAAATGTATTACCGGCATTTTTAGTATAAAAATCTATTTTTAGTATAAAAATCTATTTTAAGACTTTCATAGTGTTTTGACGCCAGTTTGGGGTTAAATTATTTGCTCATATCTACGATCCGAACAGGTGATACCACCGCAGGTCAAGGTTGACCTGGGAGCAACAGCAATTAAGAGGTGGTTCCACGCTCCTCAAAACCTTCTGATCAAAGGCCTTGCTGCCGGATGTAGTTTATCGTCATAGCAAGGACGAGCCATTTTGATTTCGATTGGATCTTCTGCAGTTCTGACGGAGTTAAATGACACTTCTATCACTCAGTTTGATAAAAGAAAAAATGCGTCGCGAAAGAGGTCATATTATATGCTACAATATATCTATGCTGGTTTGGAAACACGAGCATTGAGTCAATTACTCCTAGGAAAATTGGTTCACTGTGTCGTGCTTGCCAACTTTTCACACTAGAATCTATATTGCGTTTTTTTATAATTGGCAATTAACCTGTAGCCACATCTGGTTTGGTATTTCTATTATGTATCTAAAAATTCTCGAAAAAATCCGAAGGAGGATCTACAATGTTATCGGTTCTCACCTGGCAGCCCAGCTTCAGTCTTGTCCTACTGCCGTAAACTAGCTTCTCTGTGCATTTTCTCTAAGTATTTTCATGGCGATTGTTCTCATGAGTTTTCCTTTTTGGTACCTCGACTTCATGAATTTAAGAGTAGTACTAGCCTGGCAGCTAGGTCTCATCCTGTTACTGTTAAAAATAGATACAACTTAACTAATATTTTTTTCTCTCGTACTTCTCGTCTGTGGAACTCTTCTGATCTCTTGGTTTTTTATCAACTACAGTCTCTAAAGATTTAAATGCAGTATCAATCGCTATCATCCGTCCTTTTTTTTTCAAATTCAATCTTTTATTGTATTTTCTATTCAGTAACGTTGTCTCAATTTTTTTTTTTCACTTTCAGTAACACCCTTGAGTCTTAGTGAATTTATCACCTTGCTCGACGTGAAAGGATTAAAAATGACTGGGACTGGCATTACGTGTTTTAAAAACATATATATATATATATATATATATATATATATATATATATATACACCGACTGCAAGTAATGTAAGCTTCGTGGATACGTATAAGTAAAGCATGGTACGTAATAATTATGATTAGAAGTTAAACACCTTTAGAAAATTCCTCAACTTTATCTAACGCAAAGCAGGAATGACGTTGTTAGCAAGTACGTTTTTACGGAGTGGAGTTGCCAACCAGTTTTGAATTCAGAGTTGTCCTTCTCCTAGACTGATTGACAAACAAGGCTAGAGATCTCATTTGGCCATGCTATGTAACCCATAGGTGGAGAAAGAAAAGATGGATTCATACTCCTCTCATGTTTATTCGTGCGAAAGTAAATGCAATGAACTCGACTTGAATTTGAAACCACGACGC